CCTCAAAAAAAAAAAAAAAAAAAAAAAAAAAAAAAAGACTTCTCTGCAGGCCAGCAGATGGCATAGTGGTTGCATTGCTGCACTCCCACATGGCCAACCGTGGTTAAAATCCCAGACCTGGTGGCTTGAAATTCATGCCAGGCGCATGTGCATGTATGCCCAAAATCCTAGGAGAAGAGTGAAGAAGAAGAGACTGCACATCCCTGAGGAGTGATTTCTCATTTTCCCTCTCGCTGTCTGTCTCTCTGGTGAGTGCATGCAGCCTAAGGCAAAAATCTCTAAAAAACGAAAATGAAAAAAAACTTCTCTGGGATCAGCAGGTAGCATGGTGGTTAAGGAACTGGATCCCACATGGCCAACTTTGTGGTTCTAGTCCTGGAGAGAGGGCTTAAAAATCAAGCTGGGGTTGGGACCGACAGTTGGCCTAATGGCTATGTTGCTGGACTCCCATGTAGTTGACTGTAGTTTGAGTCCTGGACTGGTGGCTTAAACTCACACTGGGCACATGTGCATGTGTGCCCAAGGTCCCCAGAGGAGAATAGAGGAGAAGGTATTGTGGCGCCGCCATCCCCCCTGGGGGGTTATTTCTCGCTTTCTGTCTCTCTGTCTCTATCTTTCTGGTGAGTGCATGTACCCTATAGCAAAACTGTAAAAAAAAAAATCATGCTGGCGTATGTGCATATGTACCCCAAACCCTGAGAGGAGACTAGAGGAGAAAGATTGAGGTATGGCCATCTCCTCTGGCCATCTCCTCTGGGTGTGACTTCCCACTTTCCCTCTTTCTGTCTCTTTCTGGCAAACACACATGCCCTATAGCAATAACTAAAAAAAGGGAAAACATTTCCCTGAAGATGTGACATTTAAGCTAAAATCTGAAGGCCGAGAAGTCACCTGGACAAAAGGGCTAAAAAGGCTGTTATAGAAAGAGAAAAGGGCAATGTGTGAGGGGGCCTGTGGCTAAAAGGAGTATGGTGTGCTGCAGGACGGCAAAGGCGCCTATGTGACAAGGAAGAGGGAGTGAGGAATGACTGGAGCTGAGATTGCAAGGAGATGCCAGGATCCAGATCATGCTGGGCCTTAAAGACCACCATGCGAAGTTTGTCTCTCTCTTTGGTATGATGAGTCTCTTGGCAGAGAGCCTGACATAAAGGAGGTAGCCATAATTGGATGTCTTAGACTGCACAAGCTAGGAGCAGACGCTGAGACAAGAAAGTGAGTGCTACTGTTACCAGACAAATGTACAGACTGTGCCTGATCACTCATCACACAGCCTATTTCCAAGACCACAGCAGTTTGCTTAGAGGAAGGCTTTCTTATGGGAGAGAGCCACTGGGAAAGTGGTAACGTCAGTGATTCTTATTATAGTACCAGCTCCATGATCAAGGGGTAGGCAAACCTTTTAAACACAAATCAGGAATGTGACCATATGAGGGTCTGGGGATAGGAATCCAGGAGCTTTCCAGAAGTTTCTATGATGTCATCTTTGATGGACGGTGCTGTTTTCTTGGTGCCAGGTAGTCTTGAGGAGGGTACAGGTTGAGATGTTGTCTTCAAGTCTGTTCTTGGTAAAGAACCAAAGACAAAGAACTCTTAGGACACCTGGATCTATTTAATCTTTATATGCTATTTGTGGCTGTGTCTTATAAAAGTTGAATAGTTAAGGCTAACACAGTGTGGTCACTACAGGACCATAATTACAGTGTGCAGATACTTTCAATTAGAGCTCATCTTATGTGTAAAGTAAATTACCTGGGACTCTAGGGTATATTTCTTTCTTACCTGGTAACTAATATATTTAAAATTAAACAAACAAAACTTTTTTTTTTTCCTTCTCAGAGGCTGGTATACCACTAGCAGTAGGGATTCCATGAAGCACCAGTTAATGAATGGGAAAGGACAGAAGAAAAGAAGCCAATACAGGTAAGTCACTGAGTAGCTTTCTGCTGTGGGAAAGGGGGACTCAGTCCTCCAAAACCCCTCAGGAGAGAGTGTACGACACTCCTTGGGTTATTGTCACTGAGGGGCAAAGGAGCTGGAGTGTTCGTTTACCAGTTGCCACCAGTCACTGTGGGAAGCATGGGCTCTGACACTTCCTGTCTTCCCAGAGGACTAAGCAGGTAGAGTTGCAGGTGTTTTCAGTCAGAAGCCATCAGGTTTGTGTTCATGAGAGTGGGCATACTGAGTGGCCATTAGGGCATTTATGCATCTGTGACAGTAAGCATCCAATGACCCTTCTATAAGCCAGTTGTGTATGCAGTGGATGAGCAGAGCAAGGGCAAAGGAGGAGGGGCCAAAACCAATTGATAGGAAGGATAAGGCAAACCATGCTCAAAAGGGTCACCATCCTCAGAGACTGTATTGGGAGCAGCTGGCCCTGGGGTTGGCCTCGGGATGAACCTCACATTCTTGCCTTCATGGGAATAGACTCTTTTTCAGCTCTCCTCCTGGGGGCATTTGCCAGAGGCCCCTCCCCTGGTAGGCTGAGAAGAGATGCCTACCTACTTCTATTTTTTAATATTTATTTAATTTTATTTGTCTCTACTATTATTTAAAAGAATTACTACAAGGCATTTGACAGAGAGAGAGAGAGGGAGAGGGAGAGGGACACTTGCACCTTCATTTTCCATTCCCAAGACATAGCCTTTACTACTTAGCCTGGCAGGGAGGGACAAGGAGGGACTGGGAAGTGTTTATATACTAAGGGTATAGGTAAAAATTAGGATTGGACCAGGGGAATTAGACATGACTTCAAAAGCACATTAAAAATAAGAACTGTGTTCTCTGTAGTTCCCTGGGTAATTAATAAGGAAAGTCACGTATCTCCTGCCTTGGCGATTAGGTAAAACCAACATTACTGAATATAACATAATCCACATTACTGAAATTGTTTTTGTAGCTTATGAAATGCCAGCTAATAAATGATCTCAGTTGTTTCCCATAACCTATGGAGGTAAATAATACTCTTAGTCCCATTTAACAGATGATGAAGCTGAGATTCAGAGGCAGTAATTGCCTTACCTTCATAAACACAGGCAGTGAACAGCAAAGGTCTGTGAGTGCTTTTCTTCTGGTGATGAAACAAGCTCTTTGCCTTAGGGACAGCTGTTTATAATAGGGATAGTGGAAATGACCTGTGTGTACAGTGATATCACATCAGATGTCATGGATGCAATAAGCCTGAGGATGTTGAGGTCTGTTAATTGAGGCGGGCAAATGTTAAGAAAGCAGCTTACACAATTGCACTGTAGGCTAGGGTAAGCAAATTTTCTCTGTAAAGGGCTAGACAGTAAATATTTTAGATTGCAGGTCTATATGCCACCTGTATGTGCAGGTGTTCCAGGGTGACAGTGATATTGTAGTGTGAGAACAGTCATAAAAGTTTGTAAATGACTGGGTATAGCATGTTCCAATAAAACTTTATTTAAGAAATCAGGAGGAGGGCCAGATGAGGCCTTCAAACAGTAGTTTGAACTGTCTCCTGTCCTACTGGAAAGTACATTGGAGAGTATATTACTATTTTCATCACTAGATGGTGCCCTTCCATTAGTAAGGTAAAAGAGGAAGTTGGGTTGCTTTACCATGGGTAGGGAATTGGAGAAGAAATGATTATGACAGGAATTACTGTAGGAGGCTGAGAACAGGTAAAAGAATCTAAGTATAATTCAAATGATGGAAAATAAACACCCCCCCCACATATCCAGAGTATCTCCTGTGTTCCAGGCATAGTTCAAGGTGGTGATGTGCTGCTCAATATTTATTAATAAACTCTGAAAAAAGAAAACAACCCTCCCCCCTTCCCCACCTCCCACTTTGTGGCACTTGTTGATTTCTGTATCATGATACTCAACATCATGGCTGATTTCAAGCTACTGACTTGCCATTAATCTCTTCCCAAAGCTCCTAATGACTGTACAAAGTAGCTCCAACATGCTGCTGGCTCAAGGTGTTTTACTTTGTTTTCACATTCACCTGGTGAGGGAAGTAATAAATGATAACAATAAAAAAAAACCCTAGTATTTTTAAAGCAATTACAGCAGATATCCTGCTAATTGTTTTATACATACTACCTTATTTTGTAGTTTTCAGAACCCTGGAGATACACCTGTCAACCCACTTTGCAGATAAGCCAATTGAGGCTTAGAGAAACTTGACAATTGACTCAAGGTCATACCTCCAGGATTTAACACTTGTAGTTTGGCGGCAACATCAGGCACTCAACCGGATCATACCCATCACCTTTGCTGTGGCTCAGCAGGATATAGATGTTGAAATCTGAAACCATGCTCAAAAGGGTCACCATCCTCAGAGACTGTATTGGGAGCAGCTGGCCCCGGGGTTGGCCTCGGGGTGAAGCTCACATTCTTGCCTTCATGGGAATAGACTCTTTTTCAGCTCTCCTCCTGGGGGCATTTGCCAGAGGCCCCTCCCCTGGTAGGCTGAGAAGAGATGAC